GATGACGAGTGTGTGGTACACTGACCTCGCTACCTCTACCTTTTAGGATTACTCTAGCATTTCTCTTGTTGAGCCCCTTCGAGCCTTGTCGCTAATTTGACTTCATTGATATCACCTTGACGATCAGATTACTGATGAGCTTTTGCTTATTTGGGATAAGGTAATTCACCCTCTGCCCTAATGACTCGGTGAACTCTGACGCAAAGAAGATATCACCATGTCAAGAGGATTTTGGTTATTTTGTAAGTTTTGTATGCCAACGAGCTACTACTCATTTAGGATGTGAGAGATACACTCTCTGCCATGTGGCTTACCGAGAGCATTGAAGTATTGTGGCGTTCCTATATGAAATAACCATTCATTCAAGACCTATTCTCCAGGTTCATGATAATATTAGTGAAACTCCTTATATCAGGTATCCTCAGGATGTAATTAACTAGATGTATACGTTCCTCTGGAAGACTCTTGACTCCGGAATAAAAATTTTCTTTTAGGTTCTCTAGTTATGGGCGACTTATGTAAGAATTCTCTTTATGGATGTTGTGTTTCGATGAACTTTGATCCGATATTGTTCGGACATATACTCTCGACCCATCACACGAGGATTACCCATATATAAGTTTTTCACTTGTTTCTTTTTATTTGTTTTCCAATTTGTTATTGTATATCCTTCTTTTTTATTCCTCTCTTCTTCAACTCATTAATGAGATTTTGAAGGGAAATTTATTTGAAAGAGGGAATTATATGATGACATATAAATAGACAAGCGGACGACTCCAGGTCTTTAAAAAGAAACAAGAAAATAGAATTATCGCCATGCTCAAAACTTACACTTTTTGTGTTTCGGTTGCTCGGTTAGGTCATCTCCTTGAACGACTCACACCTTATGTCATACATATTAAGCAAAACTTATCACATAATTGATGGGAGCAACCATCGAGACTTGTTGTTGGGGTGATTCATATACAACCCACTAGAGATCTTGTTATTAATTAATAGAGAATCACAACTAAAGCTTGACCCGCTTCAAGCTATGAGATAGATTTTTATGATTCATAAGCATTACAAGTATATTCTTGTCTATTTTTTATGGGATGTTAAACATTATTGTAGGTCATGTTTAGATAATTTTTACCAATCATACGTTATGCGTTGTTGTCGATCTTGAAAAATTTATTGATCAGACATGTGCGCCCCTGTTAGTTTTACTGATTTGGTGGAGTCAATATTGGCGGGTAGGTTCGAGCTCCCCGAGTGTCGGTTAGGTTTTGACGATCTCTTGCATAAACTCCTCGAGTTACTGGAGTGTTGGTTAGGCTCATTGTTGAGTTGAGCGCTAGTGAGGATATCAGGACTAACTTCCTTGGTGGTACGGTCTATTGGTGGCTCGGTGATCCAAGTGTCTTCGTGAGCCTTTGAGGCAAGTTTGAGCCGAGAGTTGAGGATTGTGCCTCAGCTCCTGACTTTCTCTAAGGGCAGCTCTCTTTGGTGGATGGTGGTTGGTTCACTCGATTCCGAGTGATTAGAGGGAGGAGTTGCATTCTTACATCAATATGTGATTTTTAGCTCGTTCCAATAGCTCGATTAGTTTCTTCAGTCGCAGTAGGCCCAACGCATATCAAAATGGTTCTACCTTTAACCTTTCAGCTAGAACAACATAAGCTTTTGATGGTTCCGGGTCTTGAACGTCCAACATCTCCTTCTGAAAGTGAGCAATGAATGAGCAAAGACTCATTTTGTGCTTGTCAGATTTGCATAAGGTTTGTGAATTTTTATGAGCCTTTTGAGTGTATGCAAACTACGACACAAATATTCACTTGAAATTAGCAAATGATGCAATCACTTTCGGTAGCAATGCATTGAAACGCTTGAGTTCTGACCCTCTTAGCACAATAAAGAAGAGACGACATTTCAGCGCATTAGTGATCCTCAATAGACACACATTTGAGTCAAATGAGGCTATGTAGTATGTCAGATCAGTCCTACCCTTATAAGTCTCCAGTTCTAGGATTTTGAACATATTTGGAGGTTTAACCTCAGAGATTTGTTGAGAGAATGCATTCTCTAGCTGTTTGGGAAGCTTAGTGCGCCTGAATCGGTGTCAGTTAGTCGATGTCATGAAGAAGGGCAATTTCATTGACTTGAAAATTGCAATAATTTTATTGCAAATTTGAAATAAAAACTCTTGATGTCTTTACATAAATAACAAGAATACAATGTAGATCCTTGGGATCAAAGTGCTAAAACAAAAGGTTGCAAATGTTTGTGGATGCATGTATTTATGTGCATAGAGGCAGGTTAGACTATTACATCTTAATTGGAAAAATCATATTTCAATTCATGAAATTAGGAATGACCAGGCGACCAAAAGTTATAAGGCTTTAGTCATCTTGCTTTGGAGGGCTTATTAATGCATGGAAAAATTATGGGTAGAAATTCCTAAATTTATCTCACTTTTCCCACATCATTAAATATTATACCAAGAAAGATGATTTAGTAATATTTTTAAGGATTAAATTAGATTAAGTTTGAGTTAATGAACTTGACCTTGGACGAGCTGTTAGTGGAATGTTGTTCTCAATGATTTTATAGGAATTTAAGTGCCTAAACTATCAATAGATTCCTCACTCACAAGAATGCATTCTCTAGTGTTTGGGATGCTTAGTGCGCCTGAACCAGTGTCAGTTAGTCGATGTCAACCCAACACTATCAAAGTGCTGGAAGTCGTCTGCTCTTTCCAGGGCTAGGGGGCTCTTCAGCTGTCGTGCACTGACCTTTCCTCTCAAGGGTACTTCTCTCTTCTCCTAGCCAGTGCCTATCTAATGGCATCCAACATTTGATCCTTCAATTTCTGGAATTGTTGGTTCACAAACACCCCGGTGCACTCCATGTTATCGGTGTCTTTATTGTGAGCTTATTCTCCTTAGGCTACTCTTCTTCTTTTAGTGGCATGAACACACTCACCACACATTTTAGGATATTGAATTTTGATTTATATGTGAACCACACCCTAAGGAATATAATGTAAAAAAGGAGAGAAATAGATAGAGAGACCGAGAGAAAAGTGAACAATAATGAACAATAAATTATATCAATTTTGTTCACCTTTCCTGACCTTTTTGGCTAAAATAGTGTTTTTTTTCTTCCTCATTTCAATGTGAAATGGAGTAATGAGTACAATATGTTGATATTACATTTTTGCCCTTGCTTTAATGGGGGTTGTACAAGATATCCTAGGTATTTTACATATATGATCTTATCGCTCGATTGTTCTCTGGTTTGTTTGGTTGGGCTTGTTTAGCTTTAGCACTGTAACCTGGTAGGTAGCTCACTCCTCAAAGAGGAAGGCTTAAGGGATGACTGTGAGATTCATTGTTGAGTAGTTAGTTTTTACTCTCTGTTGAGAAGTCTCAGAAGCTTTTATGAGATGATTAATCTTTTCTCAAATCAGATCTATCGGAAGATAGAATACCTCCATCAGTCGACTTTCTTATGGAAGTTGACTTAAATCCTATTTGTCTCATTTCAGTTCGAATGGTTCGAGCTTGAATCACTTTGTTGTTCTCTTCCCTTCATTGTGGCTCGGTCAGTTTTGGCTTTAGTTCGGATGGCTGTGTTTAGTTGGCTTCTATCTTGGTTTTGGATAACTGCATCTAGTAGACTTTCAACCTTTACTATGATGGCTGCATTCGGTAAGATAAGTAGACTTTCTTGTCTTCCGTCGGTAGACCCTATTTTGTCTTACTCTTCTCATACAGACTGTTAGATCATCTCGGGACCAGCGTTGACACATTTTTAATGTACAATCATGTTTAAAAATATTACTCTTACTAATATATATATATATATATATATATA